CAGCAGCAGCAGCACCACCACCACTAACCAAATTGATAGCATTGATAGTAGCACATTAAAAACAACAACACCATCAACTACAATTTCAAGTACAAATACAAATGCCAGCAGCAGCGGCAGTGAAGCGAAAAGTAAAAAGAGCCCTATTCCACGTTGCGTCTTACAAAATCCAGATCCAGTGCGGGATAATTCATATGCCGGTATACTAAAAGGACAACAGGCAGCCAATTCGCTAACGGGTAATAACATTTAGATTTGCGTGGATAGAATATTACTTACTTTTTGAGACTAAATTTTTTGTTTAAATTTTTTGTGACAAATTACTAAATTCTTTTCTTTTTTATACAAATTAAAATCGAAATTCTTGCTGCATTTGAAAACGACCGCCTGTGCTCATCTTCCATTTCAGCAGACTCTGCCAAGTACCGTAAACTTTGTGATGCCATTGATACGCCGAGTAAACTCTTTGATGAACGTCAATTTCCGCCAGTGGCCATTGCAGCACGCGATTGACTAACAAAGCGAAGGAGTGAAGAAAAGGAACGTTTTACGACAGCTGTTGCGAAAGCTTAAATTTATATATAAAGAATTTAGTGGCAATTTATTTATATATGTAGATTTGCTTGGTTTGCGTCTGAAGCTTTCTCTTGTATTTAGGTGTATAGTGGCACAGCTGGTTGGATTAAAAAATATGACATGCATACATATACATATGTATGCCATTAATTAAAAATAATAATTTAGCGAAATTTAAAAAGCGTATCAATTTAGCGATTAATTATTGTTTGAATGTTGTATAAAATTCTATTATGAAAGCTATTTTTTTAAACTGGAATGTTAGAAAATACATACATATGTACATATGCATACGTACAAGTATTAATATTAGTTTTAACACAGGCAAATATGTATAAAATTTAGATACATGCACACGCATGTAGCATAAAAGCAAAAAAATAAAACTTTAAAATATCTGTTAGTAAATTAAGCTTAGTAAGCATTTATATATACATATTATATTTCTATGTTTACGATATTTTCTGCGAAACTTTGGCCCATAAAGCGACTATAATATATTTTCAATATAGGGCCCAATATGTTGCGCTCTCTTTTTCCACTATGGCATAGACAGGCGGCGACGTTAATCCGGATTAACGGTGCAGTTGATCTGAGCAAAATTCTACCCTGGCAGACGTCAGTGTTGCGTATTAAGTAGGTCAGAAAAATTTATTAAAAAATTTTTGAGTTCCTTCAATTATTACTTTTATTTTTCAAACGTAATTATAGTCGTTGTGATATTTTCAAATAAAAGTAAACTCTAAAAAATTTAATTAACTCAAAATAATTATGTTAAATAACACAAAAAAAAACAAAAATAAAACATACATACAATGAAAAAATACAAACAAAAACAATAAAAATAATTTTAAGGTTTGATGAATACCCTTATTGTGTCAAGGAATCCCTTTCCATGGTAGCAAGTAGCAAAAACCGCATTTCAATTTGATTTTAAAAAGTAATTTCAAGCTCAAAAACGATCTTCAAAAGTAAAATTTTTGAATGCAATGAACTTTTAGAAAAAAAAATAAAAGACGTTATTTTAGTTCTTGCGACCATGGAAAGAGATAGCGTGATGTAAGGATAGCATACCGGTTTTAGGTCAAAAAGGAAGAAATTTAAAACCTATTATCGAAGATCATTTTAAAGGTTAACGTAATTTTTTAATCTACGCTACTAATTTTTTTTTATTATCTTCCTTTTTACCTTCCTTTTATTAGCTCGGGATGTAACTATGTAATATTGATGCGCCTAAAAGATGCAGCGATTTCTATTCTCAAGTTACATACCGAATGACAGTACGAATGGCAATTATAATAGGGAGGTTTTAGTTTTTTAAACTATAATTTTTTATTTATTTCTGAAATAAAACACTGTGCGGCGTTTTCAGTTGCATATTGAAAGCCATAACGCCCAAAAAGGCTTGGTGTGGAGTTATGCTCTTAATCCAGATCAACTGCAGTTAATTACCGAGATAAGTCCGAATTAAAAAGTTCATACGCATCAACACTGCCGCCCGTCTTTGCTTTTTGTTGGAATAGAGAAGTATTTTTCGAAGCCTGTATTAATGGCTTATTGACTTTTTTATACAAATTTATGTTATAAAATTAAAAAAAAAAATACTCTTCCCCGTAAGATTAGTGATTTTTTGCAATTTGCTTCACATAAAACCAAACGATCTTATTTTTTGTTTGAATTTTAAGAAACTTTAGTATTTTTTTTTTTTGTTTTGATTGCTAATTATATGTAATGACAAAAAGGACACGCAAATATAGTAGATAATGGAATCAATTAATTAGCTGACATGACTGCATAAGCAACAACAATTGCATGACATTTATAAAACATACATATGCATATGTAATTATGCATCAAATGCAGAAGAAACGTCCATACTTTCCGACAATCTCATAGTATTGCAAGAATTTTAAATATACGGTTAAATAATTTACTAAGCAACTGCATAAAAGTAGAAAAATACATATGTATATACATTGTACACCCACTTAAAACATTTCAGTACAGATTTTTTTACACTATTCAAGATTTTCATAAAAAAAAAGTTATTTTTTATAAAAAATATAGTTCGTTCTATAATATAAATTAGTTTCAAACTTTGTTTAAAATTTATAAAAATTTTCAGCAAAATTTCCAAATTTTTTGTCACATTTTTGGGAAAAATTGGCATGCAGTTTTATAGCCCATTCAATTTCAGTGTAATAAAGTGCAAGTTTGAAGTAGCTACAAGATCCGGTAATATTTGAAATTTTTTTTCCATATAAAAATTTTTTAGCATTCGATAAAGTTTGAAACTTATGATTAAATAGCTTATATGTATTATGGAATGAATTATATTTTTTATAAAAAAAAATTGCTAAAGAAAAAACATGAATATCTATTGTAAAAAATCCGTGTAAGGCTACTTTTTCTAGTGGGGGTGTATGTAACTCGCATTCACATTTGTCAATAAATACGTACTATGTAGGCATGTAACATTAAAAGTGTACCTAACTATATTATAAACAATTATTACACTATATTATAAACAATTATAAACAAAAACAGAAAGAGCTTATGAAAAATTAAAGAAAAAAGTTTTAGAAGTAGCAATTTATAATAAAAAAAAATAATACATATTATTTGGAAAAAATAAAAAAATGTATGTAAGTGTTTCAGAAGAATATGTAATACAAAACCGAATTTGCACTTATTTGGTAATAATGTCATTTCGAACAATCTACCCAGAAGCAAGTTGTATATAAATTTTAAATATGAATAAGCATAAAGAAAAGTATTTACGAGAAAATGCAAAATATAAAATAATAAAAAACGTTGATAAATATTAAAAATTAAAAAAAATGTATTGAAATTTCATACATATGCAAGACTACTTACAGAACATTTAACTAAACTTTTTTGAAAGAAATGCAGATTTTAATGAACAGTAAAATTTGAAAAACTAATCAAATAAAGAACAAACAAAAAAAGTATGAAAATTGCAAGGAAATACAAACAATACAGTACGATTTAGGTATACATACATACATATAATAATATTTGCTTAATTTTAAAATTTGCGCATTTTTAGGTAAAATAATTCAATTCAACTTAAGCCGAAATTTTTATCCATCTGCAATTTCAGTTAATTTTTTTTTTTTTTCTGCGCCTTTTTTGCAAAAGGTCATTAATTTATAGTAAAATAATAAATTACGTAACAACATATTTTTCATAAGCTTAAATATATTACACTAAAATAATAATTATGTACATACTATCAATTTAATCAAATCGTTTAACGACAAAGCATGTGAAAGTAAACAAAAAACAATGAGTTATAAAAGCAAGATATGAACAAAAACAAATTAAAATCTTTAAACAAAAAAAATTAAATCAGAAAGAACCCCAAAAAAATAAATATAAAATTAAAAACTGAAAAAAGTTCAAAAAATAAAAAAACCAAAAACCGCATGACATTTGTTTTATTCTATCCAACGTCCGAACTCGAATCGGAGTAGATTTACCACGGTTTTTTTTTAAATATTTTAAATCTACTCCTCTAATCCGCTTGTCTTAAAACCTACTCAGTTTTTTCATTCATCTTCTTATCCTCTTAGGGCGGCGTTTCGGCAATTAACTTGCGATTTTCAATAAAAAAATTTTAAGTTTTGTAAAAGCTAAACTGATAAACAGTGTTGCCGCGCCGTCTCAAAAAAATGTACACCGACCTAGCCAAAAGTGTATTCAAATGTATCCAATTTTCTTTTTTTTGCGTATCCATCTCATAATTTGTAAGAAAACCAAACACTTTAAAGAAAAAATAATGTAACCCATCCTAAGGAGTTGGAATACATGTACATGTATATATATTTATATTTATAAAAAAATCAAACATTTGTAATTTAAATTTATAAATTGCATTTTTCGTGCATAAGTATTTTGCAAAGTAAGTATAATAAGTAGTAATTAATATGTTACATATCGACTGCTGAGTGGAAGATCGACCTATCTCGGCAGCCAGTTCGAAAACGCCCTATCTCAAAAAACTTTTCAAAAACGCCCTATTTCAGAATTTTATTGAAAAACACCCTATCTCAGAATTTGGTTGAAGAACGCCATATCTCAGAAATCGCTTCCAAAATGCCCTATCTCACTTCAAAATGTATTGTATGTGTAGGGCGTTTCTGAATCGGCAGCTTAGATAGGGCGCTGTTGGAACGAATTCTGAAATAGGACGTTCTCCAACTAAATTCTGAAATAGGGCGTTCTTTACAAGTTTTTTGAGATAGAGCATTTTCGAACTGGCTGTTAAATCGATTTCGCGAATTTTAATTGGCGATCTTTTTTTTTCAGAAATTGCGTTTATTTTTAAAACAGTCTGGACACCATAGTTGCCAACTTGGTGCTTTAAGCACTAGGATTTAGTGCTTTTTGAAAATTAAAGCACGCGAAAGTCTTTTGTTGAAATATTCCTGTTCAGTATGTATATTTCTACCCGGATAGGGCCTCATCAAATAGCGTCGAAGAGGAAATGCCGCATCCCCAACTAAATAATGCGGAAATGGCCCTGACTCCCCTGGTAAAGGACAATCTGGAGGAAATTTGAGGTGTTTGTTTTCGATAGCCTCTGTTAGCTTCGAAAAATGAAATATACCACCGTCGCTTTGGCTACCATAAGCACCAATATCGACACACGTAAATGTGTAGTTGGCGTCGCATATTGCTAAAAGAACAATACTATATTTCCCTTATAATTATAGTACATGGAACCAGAATTCGTGGGGCAAATTATATTAATATGTTTGCCATCCACGGCACCAATACAGTTCGGCATGTTCCACAAAACTTCAAATTCGGTTGCAATACGACTCCACTCTGCTTCGTTTGGTATGCTTAGGTAGAGATCTGCCAACAAATCCCATATTATATCGCATGTTTCCAGTGTTATTCGCCTGAAGGTTGTTAGTCCCATTCTGGGGACGAATAGTCTACAACGAGAGGATATCGGAGTCCTGATGGAGAATTTTTTCAATGAATTCTCCAGCAACTCATGAAGCACATTGAACCAGGGGAGAGACATCCTCAAAGACTTTTTGAACTGCTCTTCATCTTCTGCAAGTTTATTTAATGCGTTTTCAAACAGTCCGTTCTTTTGTCGATCCAAGTACAACTTTCGCACCCAAAATCTCCTCTTTGAGCGTAACTTACTTCTTAATTTACGCAATTTTGCTACAATTAAAAAAATTTTCAAAATTTGTTCTGCGCTTTTGTACAACATTTTGTTTTGTTTTGTAAAAATTTAAAAATGAACAGTCATTACGACAGCTTTCCAAGCCGCCATTTGGCCAAGCAAGTTTTCAAAGTAAATCAAAGCAAACTAAATAAGCAAGGCATGCAAAGTAAGCCCGCATTGGGCCAGCACCTTAAGTTCTTCGAAATTGTAGAACTGGTAGGCACATACATTATTAGTTAATGAACTAGTATTTTTTTTAACTGGTTTGGCTTACCAACCCACTGCAGGGAAATTAGTACAAATTGTTAGTAATTTTCATTAGAGTTTGAGTAGTAACACAAACGTCCATGTAAAGTTAACATACCTTTATCTTAAATTTATTCATTATCGGTTCGCACGCAACCAATCGGCCGCAAACCTTTCAAAAATTCATTTTAGACTCATTAGAGTGCTCCTCTCCACGGAAATCTTTAGTAAAAGGCGAAAGATTTATTCGACAA